ACACAAACTCTAATAGAAACATTTCTAAAAGTTTACGGGTACCTGGGGGTATGGACTGTGGCTAAACAAGTAACAAACCAATGTCTAATCTGCCAAAAAGTAAACAAAAAGGCACAAAGAACTGGTCCCACTGGAGAACGAGAACTGGCAACTAGACCCTTCCAGAGGATACCAGTAGATTTTACCGAACTAATCCTAGTCCAAAGATGGAAGTATCTATTAGTAATAGTAGATCACTTAACACATTGGGTAGAAGCTTTTCCAGTTTTAAAAGCCACAGCACAAAGCGTAGTGAAAGTACTACTAGAACAAGTGATTCCCAGATTCGGGTTACCTGAGACCATAGACTCAGACTGAGGACCACACTTCACCTCAAAGCTCCTGAGATTAACATGTGAGGCCTTGCAAGTTACTTGGCAACACCATACCCCCTGGTACCCCCAGAGCTCAGGAAGAGTAGAACGTATGAACCAAACATTGAAACAGACCATAACCAAACTGTCACTGGAAACAGGTCTACCATGGACAAAGTGTTTACCCCTAGCACTTTTCCGAATTCGGACAGCCCCCAGGAAAGATCTATCTCCCTACAAGATATTATTTGGACTGTCCTATCCCACCTGTCTAAGGGGTACCCAACTCCCTACTCTTGAGTTGGGTGACAAATACCTTTGTCGTGGTTTAGCTAACTCTTGTAAGCCAGGCAAAGAATTTTCTCCCTTCCCCCCTGGTTATCAGGTAAGCATTTAACAACACAAAAGACATAGTCCCTTGGTTAATGGTCGAGAGATTAGTCTCCTAGGAAACGGGCAGATGAAGGAGCTAAAGTTTACTTTTTTTCTCGTCTCCGGGGCAACAGGGGAAGGAGGAATTTTGGTGGGTTGGGGGTGTGGTTGGGGCTGGTGTGTGCTGGTGGGCTGGGGCTGGGGATGGTAGCACACATCGTCATTGGAGAAGCTTGCGGCTGTCTCTCTCTTCCCTGAGCTGTTGCCAGCTGCAGTTTTTGCCTGAAGTGAATTCTGACCAGCTGAAGATCGTGAGTTTTCTTCCACTGGGAGAATTTTTTGTTTTATTGCTGTTTTTTTTTCCTTTCCCTTCCCCCCACTCACTCTCTCCTTTCCCAGTGTGGGAAGGGAAGGGGAACCAAGGTTTTTTTTGTTTTGTTTTGTTTTGTTTTTCTCCGACATACCTTGGAGGGTATTGTCTTCCCCCCGTGGTGACCACCTGGTGACTGCTATAGGACACTACAAGTTCTGCATCTCCAGTGACCCAACGACACCCCTATTGACTGTGGTCGGAATTGCACCAAAGGGTGCAAAAATTGAACTGTTTACTTTTCCTTTTACCAGTTTATCGGTTTGTTTTTAAAGGGGTTATTTGTGGGTATAGGAGTGTTGTTTGGTTGTTTTACTTGGGGTTTTTTTGTGTTTCTGTTAATACACACATACTTTTAATAAAGGGTTGTTATTTTTTCCTTTTCCATAATTTCTTCTTTTCCTTCAATAGGAGCCTTTTAATTTTGGATTTATAATTACTTAGAGAGAGAAGTTTGGGTCTTTTCTCCTAACTCACCCTCAGCAAAAGACCCTTGTCTCATTTAAACTGGGACAACCTTAAAGAATATATCACAACAATAGCAAAAAATGTAGAAAACCTTAGACCAAAAGGACTACTCCCCCAGACTGTAAAATTAGAAATGAAAATACATAAATTTATAGCGGGAGACTAGGTTTTAATTAAAACTTGGAAAGAAGAACCCCTCAAACCAGAATGGGAGAGACCCTATCAAGTATTATTGACTACTGAAACTGCAGTAAGGACTATGGAGAAGGGGTGGACCCACAGTACCCAAGTCAAAGAGCCTGTGGCACCCCCTCCAGCAGTCCCAGAGTGGAAATGCCAAGGAGAATATCTGAGGTTCAAAATAACCCAAAAGTAAATTCTCTTACAGTCACTGAAGGACAGCAACCATTGAGACGTGACTCCCTGCAAAATTTCAGCGCTTGGGAGGGACCACCGTTGTGAGAACCAATAGTACAATCACAAGCTGAGTTACAAGAGTAAGCTGTAAACTGTAATTCCATAATCATTAACATTACATCCTAACCCTATAAAGAACTGAAGTAACAAATCTATGGTATGAAGTGGGGTTGTAACTATTCAACAGAGTAAACCACTCTTAAAAATTCCTTTCTCACAACAGCAAAATCCCTTGACCTAACCAGCCACATAAAACAAAGCAACAGAGGGCAAGACCAGGTTAGCCTCTACACTTGTCACAAAGAAGATCCATTAACTCTGCTGTTGGTTGCAACCCAATAGGCATGGGGAGTGAAGGTGTACGCTATACTGGACCTCTGTTTACCTTAATCATATTGCAGTTGGTGTCTCTCACAGTCAAGGAGTGTCACGTATTATTTTGCACGACACGGAAAGAAAAGAGTTTGCTCTACAGAAATAAAACCCCAGCTCAAACCAAACAACCAACAGAAAAACCATCCACTAAAAATGAAAAAACAGTCAAAAACATCAACATTATTACCTTTGAATGATCTATATCATGAAATGAACAAAACCCTTGAACTCTCCCCAGTGGGACAAAATTTATTTATAATCTAGCAGAGAGAATAGTAAGTGAATTCAAATTAATTCGATGTTGGGTTTGTGGAGGGTCTCAAATAGCAGAAGAATGGCCCTGGAGAGGTAGTAGTTTAACTGCCCGAGAAATACTCAAGGGTAATTACACCTTCACTAGCATTAATTTTAGGTGACCAGAAGGGTGGGTATTAAGCTCTTTAATACCAGGAGAGGATTGTTTGCGGAGAACAGGAACTCAATTTATGTGAGTAGTTGGAGATACTCCCTGCAAGAGAATTCTAAGTACTAATTCAACTTACAATAAGTGTCTTCCCCAAATCCCAAGGGCTTACTGGTCAAAAGAAAACAACTCCAATTGTATATGGGACGTGAGTTGGAAACTATATAAATGTATAAAGCAAAAAATGAACCCTTTCTCTGGGATAAGAGAAATATCAAAATTTTGATAAAACATTAATAGTACTTCCAAAGAATTTTGGAAGACCCCAGATGGACTCTTCTGGATCTGTGGAAAAAAGGTATACATAATTTTGCCAGGAGAGTGGAAAGGATGTTGCACTCTGGGAATAATCCAACCTGGATTTTTCCTATTACCCTTAGAAAGTGGGGACGAGTTGGGAATCCCAGTGTATGACGACCTTAAATGAGAAAAAAGGACGATTGAAGCGGGAGGGACCCAAAAGTAGGGAGAAGATGAATGGCCTCCTGAAAGGATTATTGAAACTTATGGACTGGCAACATGGGCACAAGACGGAAGTTGGGGTTATCATACACCTATTTATATGCTCAATAGGATAATATGGCTACAAGTTGTAGTCAAAATAATCACCAATCAGACTGTACAAGGGTTAGAATTAATAGCACAAAAAACTCAAAGTCGAGCAGCCATATACCAAAATAGATTGGCTCTAGACTACCTATTAGCTGAAGAAGGAGGAGTGTGTGGGAAATTTAACACTTCCGATTGCTACTTACAAATTGATGACAATGGAGAAGCCATAAAAAACATAGCCTCTAACATTCAGAAAATAACCCATGTGCTGGTCCAAAAGTGGAAATCTATGATGGATGGGAAATGGTGGAATGATCTCTTTGGAGGAACATGGTAGAAACAAGTAGGATTTTTTCTTTTATGTGCTATTTCTGGGTTACTATTTTTACCTTGTCTAATCCCATGTTTTATAAGATTAATTTCTAGTGTAGTCCAAGAGATGCAACTAACTACCATGCCTATAGATCCAAAAGCCGCCACAGTAAGAAGTTCGGGACCCCAAAGGATTATGGTCCTGCACCCCACCTCCAATCAAACCAAAGACATGGAGAAAGCACAGAAACTGCTGTTTGAATGGGAACGCTCCAATCAAACAGAAAATATGGACAAAGTACAAAGCATATTATCCAATCAAAAGAGAATTTGACCTTTAAGACTTATAATAAAACCATAAATAAGAAGAAAAAGGTGGGATTGTGAGAAATAAAAGACCAGATTTATTATAAGTAGATAAAATGAACAAAGAATACTAACAAAGTGTTATTTTTGTTTTTCTTATTACTAATCTATAGGTGTTCCGCAGAAGTTGTTGGGCATACAGTTCAGTCTTGCCAGGGACTAAGCATACAGGAATAGGGCAATTGCATATTAACTAGAAATATGGTTGACCAAGCTTCATGCCACGTGGATGGTCATGCGGGTAGATGGAGGCTGCCGTATTGTCTGAAACTCCACCCCTGGCATGAAGGGGGGCACAGGAGAGCCAATCTGAGTAGGAAAAATGCCCCCCCGTGTCATAAACAGGGTTGGACCTTAGGAATGTTTAAAAAGCTGGGACTTTGAATTGGGAAGTGTGCTCTTGGAAATTTTGGGACCTGAGCACCCAACAGGTGTTGTAATTAAATTTTCCTACTCGTATTATCATTATTATTATTTTCTTTGTTCTGTGGATTTTTTTCGCCATCATTGTAAATTTAAAAGAAGAGATTTTTCTCACAATTTCATCTCCTGCTACCAAAATGTCATCAGTGTATTGATATACTTTTACCTCCAGTGCAGTAGGAATGAGTGACAGTTCTTGTGCTAGTGTGTGATGTACTATAGTGGGTGATTGTTTAAATCCTTGTGGGAGGCAGGTAAAAGTGTACTACTGGCTTTCCCACATGAAAGTAAAACACTACTGGTCTTGCAGGGGAACCATAAAAAACATGTCCTTGACATCAATAGTGGCCATAATTTGATGGGCTTGTTCGTGTATGGTAGCTATCAGCTCAGCAATATTTGGGACTGCTACCGTAAGGAGCCTCCTGCTTGCATTAAGGCGTCAGTAGTCCACAGTTAATTTCCAATTTTCACAATTATCCCCAAACAAAAAAAAGGGAAAAATGGGGAAGTGGGATGGTGAACATACCTTTGAGCTGGAAGCCTGTGTATGTGAACTGAGAGGGAAGAGAGCTGTTGAGAAGGGGTGACCCAAGAATGTTGTCCATGTAGTCGCCGCAGAGACACAAGAAAGCAATCAGTGATCTCCCAGATTGTAGTGAGTTGAAGGCAGTGGGTAAAAGGACTGAAATTACCTCCTTTGATCCTGATGAGGGGACTTCTGGTCTGGCATCACAAAGGTCAGACAGTGAATACTCTGACCAGGAACAGGAATAGAGGGTCCCTGCCTTCAGCCAGGAGGAGGAAAAGGATGATCAGGTCAACTGGACTGTGTGGATTCGATGGTCTGGCACATCAGATCCACAGAAGTATAAAGCTGTCTTGCTTTAATGTCAATATATTCAGGAGGTGGGACCTCTAATGAGATGAACCCTCCTCCACTTATTATTTTCCTCTCCCCAAAATAGAGAAAGAGAGTAAAAAATTATGAGCCCGAATAAAGGAAAAAAAATGTACTAAAAAAGAAAGAAAAACAACAGTAGCAGAATGTTCTCTAGCCCTCCTCCCCCTCCCAGGCTAAAACAAAACCTCGAAGGTTATTTTGTCTGAAAGGTTTTATGCTGCAGAGGTGCTGGCATGGGTTCTGGTGTAGCAGTGGCATGGGTATTGCAAAACAGCTCTGAAGTGGCAGCAGTGCGGGGGCTGGGGTGGCCTCCAAAGTGCTCTGAGACTGTTGCTGCAGTGGTTCCCCTGGTTTTGGTATGGAATAAACAGCAAAATGACTGTCCAGTAGTGTGTCTGGGCTCAGTCGGACAGTGAAGGGATAGTTGGGTGCCCTGGCAAAGACTCAGAGAGTCCATGGTGCTCCAGTGGTAAAAGTCAGGTAAAGGGAAAACCAGTTCCAGTCCATGCTCACTCTTTATGTCCTACCCCCTGAGCTCCCGGGATACTCCACTCCAGGGACCCAGCTTTCCAGCAGATCCTGAAACCCCAGGAAAAACGTTTCCCTGGTCTGGTTCTGGGGACTGGGGGCACACACACACCCCCCACAACCCTCACTTTGGATGACATGATGGGATAATTATTTGTTACTGAAATTAAGTTTCCCCTTCCCTCAATGTAACTAAATGATAACAAAAGTTTTAACAGACACTGGTGCACAGTGCACACTGATGTCATCAGGATACAGGGGCACAGAATACTTTTGGATCTCTGGAGTGACAGGAGGATGCCAAGAGTTGTCTGTATTAGAGGCTGAAGTGAGTTTAACAGAGGACAAGTGGGAAAAGCACCCCATTGTCACTGGCCCAGAGGTCCCTTGGATCTTTGGTACTGGTTACCTCAGGATGAGGTACTTCAAGGACCCAAAGGGGAATCAATGGGCTTTTGGTGTAGCTACTGTGAATACAGAGAAGATCAGGCAGTTATCTACCCTGCCTGACCTCTCAGAAGATCCCTTCATCTTGGGATTGCTGCAAGTTTAAGACCAACAAGCCAGTTGCTACCAGAACAGCGGACCAACAGCATTATCGCACCAAGACTCCATAATTCCCATCCATAAACTAATTTGTTGACTGGAGAGTCAAGGAGTGACTAGCAGGACCTGCTCACCCTTTAACAGCCCCATATGGTCAGTGCAAAGCCTAACGGAGAGTGGAGGATGACAGTGGACTATTGTGACCTGAATGAAGTCACACCGCCTCTTAGCACTGCTGTGTCGGACATGCTGGAACTCCAGTGTGAGTTGTAGTCAAAAGCAGTCAAATGGTGCCACAATTGATATCGCTGATGCATTTTTCTCAATCCCTCTGGCAACAGAGTGCAGGTCATAGTTTGCTTTCACTTGGAGTGGTGTCCAGTACACCTGGAATCAACTGCCCCAAGGGTGGAAACGCAGCCCGACCATTTGCCAAGGACTGATCCAGACTGCACTGTGTAGCAGTGAATAAAAACGAGACCCTCCTGGGATGGTGGAAAATGGAGAATGTCCTTTACTAATAGTTGAACAAGTTCCTATATTCAAAATGGTGCTGTAACAAAACGTGGGGGGGTGAACGCAGTCCTATCCAATCGCTTTTAAAGTTTCTTCCCAGGACATTTATAATTGGTCATCTTTTCACGGGCTTCCATCAGAACTTCAACTCCCAGCGTACACCCCGACCATTACACAACAAGCATCCTGTGTTAACTCTCTTGTAACTCCATAGCACTGGAACAGGGGAAAGCTCCAGAACACCTGCAATATATTGATGACATCATCATGTGGGGTAAGACAGAAAAAGAAGTTTTTGAGAAAAGGAAGAATATAATCCAAATTCTACACTCCTGCACAGTATTTGGAAACCTACAGAGGTATCGGTTATGCATTGCAGAATTCATCAAAAGGGAAAAACAACTCCCAAATTGGGGAATCATTTTACTGGTCAAGCGGCAAAAGGGGTTGCAGAAAAAGGTATGCAAGCAGTAATACCACAAAAAAAAATCAGTCTGTCAGGGTTTATCCCAGAATATGATAAGAAGGACCACCAGTTAATTGAATCCCTTAAGGCTGAAATTCAGAAAGGGGGATGGGCTGTTACACCTATAGGACAATTTATAGTGCCACCCCAACTCCTTTGGGAGATAACCCTGTGGGAACACAAGAGTACCCATTGGGGAGAAGAAAATCTTTTGAAACATTTGAAGAAGACAGTCATAAGAGTAGGAATGGTCGAAATTGTACAATCTATAGTAAGTAAGTGTAAAGTCCACTGTTGAAACAATCCTAATACTAGTCAAAGGGTGGTGTTAGGGATAACAAAGGCCCGAGACCTGCCTGGAGACTATCGGCAAATAGATTTTGCTGAGTTACCATGCAAAGAAGGATACAGGTACTTACTAGTGATGGTTGACACTTTTGGTGGATGACCTGAAACTTACCCCTGTTGCACTAATACAGCAAGAGAAGTGGTAAAAGTTTTACTTAACCATATAATTCCAAGGTTTGAGGTTCCTTTGGGAATGTCATCAGGCAGAGGGTTACACTTCATTTCAAAGGTTGTGGGAGAAAGTTATTCCAGTTGTGGGAATTGCTTGGGATCTACACACTCCCTACAGACCTCAGGTGAGTGGCAAAGTTGAATGCATGAATGGTACTTTCAAAACACAAATAAGCAAAATTTGTCAAGAAACATCTATGACATGAATTCAGTCCTTGCCTATAGCTTTGCTGAGAATCCACATACAACCTAGGAGGAGGGACAATATAAGTCCTTATGAGATATTATATGGCAGGTCATATCAAATCCCACATATTCCAGGAGAAATTCACATGAGGCAGAAAACTGACTTGCAAAATTATTTAATGGTCTTTGGTTCTGCTTTGCAGAAACTTCGGAGATTTGTTGTGACATCCAGACCTATAGGATTGGACAGTCCTGCTCATCTGTTCTAGCCTATAGACAGGGTCTATGTTAAATGGTGTGACAGCACCGCCCTGAAAGCTAAGTGGAAAGGGTCATTTCAAGTACTGTTGACCACCCTCACTGCGGTCAAGGTTCCTGGCAAAGGACCCTGGATTCACTACTCCAGAGTTAAGAAGGTCTCCACTCCTGGGACAAGTGAAACTGATACAGATTGTCATGGTTTTGCTGGTTCTTAGAAACTAAGTAGGAATTTTTCCCTTCCCCCTGCCCACTGCGTGCAGAACTATTAAGTGAGGACTTAAGAGACACAAAAGAAGTGGCTTGCTGGTTAATTGCTCAGAACATCTCCTAGGAAACGGGGGGGATGAGAGGCTCCTCTTTACTTTTTTCTCTTGTCTCCTGGGAAATGGGGGGGAGGAGGTTTTTTTTGGGCTGGCTGGGGAGGCTGGAACAAGGTAAGAGTGGAAGCTGTTGTTCTCGACCTGCTTGCCTGCTGTGGATCCTGCCTGGATTTTTCATCAGAGAGGAGCTGTTTTCTGGAAGTTTTTCCCCTTCCCCGTTCCTGTTTGTTTTTTTTTCCTGGAGGTGGTCCTTGTGCACATCAGGGGGAGAGGGAGGACTATGCCATGCGATTTGACCAGACAAACAGAGTGAGTTTTTGTTTTTTTTCCCATTGGGGAGGACTTATTTTTTGTTATTTCTCTCCCCCCTCTTTCTCTCCCCTTTCCCAGTGTGTGGGGAAGGGGAGGGAAACCCATTTTTTGGTTTCTCCAACACACCCCAGAGGGTGTTACCCCCACGTGGCAACGACCAGTGTTTCCACAGTGCCCTCTGCTGGTCAACATAAAGAACTGCAGGTCATGCATCTCCAGCGATCCAACAGCGCCCCCCTGGTGACTGGCACAGGACACTACAAGTTCTGCATCTCCAGTGATCCAACAGCACCCCCTGTTAACTGTGGTTAGAATTGCACCAAAGGGTGAAAAATGAACTGTTTACCTTTTCTTTTTCTTTGTTTGTTTCTTGGTGTGTTTTGTAGGGGATTATTTGTGGGTATAGGAGCATTGTTTGGTTGCTTTACTTGTTTTCTTTTGTTGTTTCTGCCAATACATACATACCTTTTAATAAAGGGTTGTTATTTTCTTTCCCTTTTCCATAATTTGTTTTTCTCTCAATCGGAGCCTCTTAATTTCAGATTTAAAATTGCTTAGAGGGAGGAGTTTGGGTCTTTTCTCATAACTCATCCTCAGTAAAACACCTGTGTCTCATTTAAACTGGGACACAGATAAAGAAGATGCAGTTTAAACTGCTCTTTTTGTGTATACTGCTGGTAACCATGTGTCGTGGTTTTGCCCACCAGCCCATCCCTGGGGCTGAGGATGGTTTTGTCCAGGTGATTTCTGGACAAAAAGCCAATCAAAAAGTTCAGTGACGCCTTTGCTAATTACATCTTTAAGAAAACGGAAGAGAAGGTTGGTGTCGCAGTTGAAATTAAGAACAGCCGCCATGTAGGAGAGAAGGTAGCGGACCCGAGGAGGGCCAAGGCCCCCTCCTCCCCGGCTTGGGCCGGGGAGGGGGGCCAGGTGCAGCATTGAAGCTTCTCTTCTTTCTTGTGAGAGAGTGAAGAAAAAAGAAGTTTAAAAGACAAACTGCTTAAACGAGAAACCGCTGCAGAAGAATTCCAGCCATGAGATAACAGAATTTTCAAGGTCAAAGCTGCAGTTGCAGGAGAGAGAAGAAAAGTTTGAAGGGGGGAGAGCTGCTGTTTTTCTCCCTTTCGCTTTCCCTCCCTTCAGCAGGGTAAAGACTGAAAAATAAAACCCTGCCACCTGTAGAAATTTGTTGAGGTGAAGAGACCCCCCGTGCGGCTCACAGAGGAGCTTGTGGATGCACCAGAGATTTGTGACTGAAAAAGAAAGCCTTATGCTGGAGTAAAAGCGGCTCAGATGAGGCAGAGTCCTGTTAAAGACTTTGTGACTCTCGAAGGGGACGATGCTTATGCTGGAGCGAGACGGCTCAGATAAGCTTGGGATCTCAGTGAGAGATCCATGCTGTTACTGAAGATTTGTGACCCTGAGAGAACCTACGCTGGAGCAAAAAATGGCTCAGGTGGGATATTGGGATCCGAGTAAGGGATCCAGACTAGACCCATGCCGAGAAGTCTATCAAAGACTGTTCTCCCATGGGGAGGGACCTCCATAAGAAAACAGGGGTGAACTCTGTAACCATTATCCCCTGTAACCCTGTGGAAGAAGATCCATAGTAAGCAAGTGTCCCCTTGCAAGCCTATGGAAGGAGACTCTTCAGGACCTGGGTAACCCTCAACCTTCGGTTTTAGCCCAGGAGGGGGGTAGGCCCAGCCCTGGAGGCCAACACAGAATGAGAGAGAGATAAAGAAGTTCCAGCTGCGACGAAAGTGCTACAGAGTTACTGGAGAGAGAGAGAGCTGGAATTCTGAGAACAAAAAAGGACTGCTTCTCCTCCTTGGACTGATATAAAAAGAGGTGGGGGGAGAAGTATCTTCTGTAAATACATAATACTTTTTACTTAAGTA